ACCCACGGGACCACCATGCTTGTTGGTCTCGTGCCCGTCCTCTTAGCGGTAGATCGTTAACTCGTTGAATATTGAGTGAATCCAACTTGCCGGGACGGGATTGGGCGTCGTCGACTTGAAGACCGGGTTGGCTGGGCTGTCGATTGTTGACATGGCAGGAATCGAGTGAAGGAATGGTCATCATCGTTTTATTATCCGGATGTTTATCCGCATCGACGATGTATCTACCTACCTCAGCAAAGTTTGGGAGATACTGTAGAGGTTCCTGGATCTCCAAAATGTGTTGAGATTCACACAATTCGGAGAACGTGATTTTAGAGGTTTATAGATTTATAGAGTATTTTGTGCTATCTATCTCAACTCAAAAGTGGACTACCGAAAACTCTCTATTGTCACTCGTTTCGGGGTTTCGAACTGTGTACTGTAAGTGTCCACAAAGTTGTGTACTGTACGTACTTCGATATGATGATGTATTGAGATGAGAAGTCAAGCTGGACGAGCCCACCGAACCGCCCCGTTGAATCCAAACTGATTTGAGAGCCACGCTAATGAGCAAGTAAGCTCGTATGAAACAAAAGACTTCGCATTTCTTACTCAAAACACATACTATGGACTTCGGTATTGTTGATTAACACCCCTGGCCACCGGCCAAGAGGTAGCACGACGTGGCTTCAAACATGGTCATCATGATGGCCGTGACGGAGACACAAAGGATGACGGACGTCAAGACGATGATCAACGCGCCTATGATAGGGTACTTGGCTCCGTGCTGGAGCATTTCCTTGACAGCGGCCTTTTGGGGCGGCAGGATCACCACCCAGCAACATGCAAGGACAGTTGTCCCGTACACAACTAAGTACGAGTACGCGGCGTGGTTGCGGACTTCTGCTGTGTCAGTCTCAATGTCGGCTTTGGTCACTTTGAGCTGCGTCGAGTAGACGTTTGTGACCATTTTTCCAAAAGTCGCGGGGAGGTTGCCCATGGTCGTGAGCAGGCCGTAGATGAGGCCTTCGTTGCCATCGCCCGCCAGTTCCACAATCACAAACGTGGACACGACGAATTGGACGGCTTCCGGAACTTCTGAGGTGAGAGGGACGCCAATGTAGAACCACTGATTGCGCACGATGTCGTAGATGGTGAGGTACTGCACAATGGCATCGATGACGACACCAGACAAAGTCGATATAACCAAGATGAAACGCCAGTTCCAGTGGGTGCCCCACCGGCCAACGGCGAAAACTGTGGTGGCTAAGATGATATACGTAATCACGCCGGCCACGGCGCTGTTGACGGGCTCGACGTGGGCCCAGTAGACCTGGATGTA